CCGCGGGAAGCTGGAAGCGACACCTCTGCGTTGCGGTACCGTGATCTGCTGCGTGACTCGCAGCCGTTCTCCGCGCGCCGGGACACGCTCTAGCCTACTCTGCCGAGGGCTCTGGGACAGGCGCTCCCGAGGTCACCGCCGACGTGCGATACGAACATACGAACCCCTGGGGGTGCGGGCCTCTGCGGGGGGCCAGGCCCTGCTCCTCATCGCAAGCCCTGTATCTGCAAACAGGCCTTGTGCAGGCAGCTAAGCACGGGCTCAGCTCCTCCAGCTGGTACCTGCAGCCAGAGGGGGATGCTGCGACCAAACTCCGAGGGCTCTGTGTGCTCGAGGGGCAGCTCCACACGAGTTAACCCCAGCTGGAACAGGCTGCCCAGAGACGTGGTGGAGTCCCCTTCCCTGGAGACTCCAAAGCCCCTGGACTTGTTCCTGTGTGATCTACTCCAGGGGATCCTGCCCTGGCAGGGGGTTGGACTAGATGATCTCCAGAGGTCCCTTCCAACCCTGACCACCCTGTCCATCTGTGAACAGAGCTTAGAATCATGGAATCATCTTGCCTGCACATGACCTGTAGGATTTGGCCCTTCCCCCTTTAATCCCTCTATCCTCACGAGCCCCGTCCCCAGCAGAGGACACGCTGGGTTGTCAGCACGGAGACATTCTTCACATGCATAAAGAGAGGCAGCCAGAGCCAAAGAATTCTTAGAGCGTTCCTGTAAATCTACGCAGCTCAGCCTCCGCCGGGGCTGATGGATGGAAAGCAACTTAGGAGCGAAAAGCACGCTGGGCTGGGTGTTAAAGTATGACAGTTAAGGGCCCTTCGGTACAAGTAAATCACATTTATTACTTCAAAGCTTGTGGACAGAGTTCCTGAATCTCGACACCGTTGCTGTTCCCTACGAGCCTTATGACTTACAAAGAGAAGCCGATTGTTTTCTCTTCTTCATTCCTCAGAGTCCTGTCAAAGCCTTTCCACAGCACCTGCCGCTGCCCAGGGAAACGAAGACATCTCTAGAAATCAGCTTCTTTGAAGCCTCCTGCCTCAACTCCAAGCCGGGGCACGCTCCGATGCCGTCACCGCGGCGTGACACGAGGGGTGTTTGGACAAGGCCCAGGGAACAGAACAGCTGTGCTCCTCACAGTCCTTACGGACAAGGTCCTAGTTACTTAAGCTGGAAGTTCTTGGCAACTCACATTTCCAATCCAGGCTTGTTCTCTTTCCTTTCCTTGATGGGGAAAAGCAGTCAGCCGGATTTAGCTTCCCATAATCAAGGAAACACACATTCCGGCTCCCAGTTACGGTTCAGGCTTTATATAGATCTTCTCCTCCTTCCCTTCCTTCATCGCAGCGTAACGTGCCAAAACGAAGAGGTAGTCGCTCAGCCTGGAAACCGAGAGGAAAGCAGTGAAAGCGCTGCTCGCGTCAGGGGCGTTTCTGCCTGGCAACGCGCGACTGCGGCGCAAGAAGGGCACGTCAAGGAGGGCAAAGACGGAGCACACGCTTTCCAGAATGGCCGTCCCTACGGAAGTCTGCTGCTCCCTCGCCTGTGAACACACAGGCCTTGCAAGAATTCTCTTTAACCAGCTGCTCGTTGGAACTTCAAACGTCTTACTCTACACGGGAGGTTTCTCGAGAGGTAAAACCCTGCAGTTCTATCCCAAGGGATAAAGGGATAAGGGAACACCACCAGGCACACTTGCATAGTACGGACTAAGGGGTTGGGGTTTTTATTTTTACCTGTTTAAATATTTAGCCACGTTTGGATCTGCTTCCCCTGCTTGTACTAAAGGAACCACGCTAGGAAAAAAGGGAAATTTTAGTGTATTTAACTTTCTGGCTCTGAACGCACAAAGGACTTGCTGCAGCGCCAACCTTCACACCCCAACCTCCCCGGCATCCCCACTCCAACTCCCCACAGCCCGTGTGAACGCTGTCTGCTCCCCTGTGATGGCTAAATGACACAACGGATTTTCCCAGCTGTTCTGGAGGACTGCAGCTCCGCTCCCCTAAAGGACCCTCATCAGTGGGTGTTGCTGAACAGGGGGAGCAGTTTGCAGGATTATCCTTTTCTGCAGGTAAACAGGGACCCTTCCTCTGTTGTGGGAAGAGAGCTGTTCCTGCCTCCTGACTGCTGTACAGCCCTCTTTATAGCTGCCTTTTGACAAGAAACCACCGACGGTGATGTTAGTTTTTTTGAAGATCACACTGCTGCGGTGTATCCTGTCAGAACTGCAATCCTCGCAGCAGAGCACATCCATAAAAGCACATCCTCACATCCTGCACATCAGCGGCTTCGGCAAAGAACCCCCAGCAACTCAGAACCACTGATGAGCAGTGATTTACATAATGAGCAGACGAGGGGTTTCCTCTACTGACCTTTCCAGGGGAGTTTTCATTTCCCATATAGAAGTGGAACAAGGTAAGTGTGGGCAGCGACATCTTAAGCCACTAAAAGCTTCCCTGGATGTCCCTGCCAGCGCCCCAGCTTCCACGTGTGCCGTCGCACAGAATACATCTAGCAAATCAGAGGCATCTCAACATAAACCTGTCTGTTCCGTCTGGAGTTCCTAGCTCCCATGACCCAGTTCAGGGGAGGGAAGAGACTTGCTTTTTGCTGACTGCACTCCTGGAATTTGACTAACACAAACATAGGAAGCTTGACTCAAGCGCTAGCCAAGCGCGATACCGCTACGGTTGATTGCTCCGACTGCAACGATTTGCTATCCCTGTACACTCTGATCACCTTTTATCAATTTTGTTCTGTAACGCTGCAGCCAACACTCACCACCTTTCAGCTCGGCGGCAGACAGCTCGGGAAAAATGGAGAGCAGCACTGCTTTTACCTCCTGACTGAAACAACAATGAAACAGCGCATCAACGTCTGCTAACAGCAGATACAGCCATCCACCTTATTGTGCAACCGCAGCAAAGCTTATCACATCTCACACACACGCACAACTCAACCCTCTGTTACGGCTAGGCAACCGGGAAGAGAGATCTGAATGCAGCAGGGTGTGGAAATTTAACTCAACCGGGTCCTTCTCTCCGCTTTTCTTTTGGATTCCGGCCGTGCAAACAACGGCCTCGCAACCTGTTTTCCCACAGAGCAGACTGACCCCAACAAAGCCAGCCTTCTCCAGGCAGCGAGAGGGATAAGCAGTACCTACTGGCAAGATGAAAGCTCTGAGCGGAGGAAGCTGCTCGGAGTAAGTGTCAATCCACTGCTCCAGCTCCAGAACTGGCTTCTCGCTAAAAGATGTTCGTTCTACAGAGGGAAAAGAATCCACTAAAACAAACGCTGATGGGATTCAGTCTACAGAAAGAGCTCTATTTTCATATTTCTTGGGTCAGTAAGTCCTAAGAAAGCATCCCCAGAAAAATCCTCCTGCTAGAGCAGGGCTGGCTCCCTGTTCAGCAGCCGTGGCTGGGTGTCAGCATCAGGGCAGCGCCTCGGGCCAGCTTACACCCCTCAGGTCACCCCAACGCAGCAGCTTGGGGGACCACATGCGACTTCATTCAGCACCCAGACACGCACCCTTGGGAAGCTCTAACTCCCACATACCGGAGCAGCCTCCCCAGAGCCAGTCTAGAAGGACAGCTGCGATTCAAGAACTGTTATCCCGGGAAAAGTACTGCGGGGCTTACTTAAGTGAGCCTCCCTGGCTGAGGAAAGAGGCGTCGCGATGTTGGAGCCCACATCCTGCAGCATACACTGGACCTAGATGTGGCAATCAGGCCAAAAATAAGAAGCGCTTTCATTAACCAGCCTTTGATGCTCCGGTGCAAGTGCAGCGAGCTCTGGGAGGCGACAGCTGGTTGTGCTGATTAAAGAAGATCCGACCCTTGTTGTTCATCATCCCCCAGCCTGCTGGCAGGGGGGATCAGATAAGTGCTCCCTAATTGCTTTATGAGAAGCCAGATTAGCGCATGTACTTGTTTTCACTGGCACATTAAACCACCCTGGCTGACTTTGCAGAAAGCAGACGGGAGTGCTCACATAATCCCTTTGCCGGTAGGACACCGAACCAATAACCTCCGGAAGAAAGGCAGTGACAAACGGCCGCAGACAGTGCTGGCTTGATGTCACGTCCACTTCCAAGAGGGGCATCTCTCTGCAACCTGGGATACTTGAGAGGCAGTCTGGTAAAGCTTTTTACAACCTCTGATGAGCTGCTTCTGCATTCTATGTGCACAGCAAAGTAATTAGCAAAACTCAAGACTGCCACGGCGGGACCAGTCTCTCACCATCGTGCCCTCGTGGTTACTGTGACCCAATTTCAAATCTGAGGCTGTGACAAAATGACTTGTGTCCCTAACCATGTACAGTGACAGGTCTGAATGTATGTATGTCTCCCCATAGCTAATCACTTGACCTACCCGCTTCCTTCTTGACTACAGAAACTCATTTCTTAGAGAGTAATCAAGTGTAAAAGCCTTAGGTATTTATTTTTATACTAAATTTATTAAATTCCTGTGTGTCAGTGGGAGCACTGTGTCTAAAGTAAAGAGTTTAAGAATACATTTCAATAGCACAGATGAAGCGGCTGCACTGGGCGAGGATTATCATTAATACTCACTTTGTGAAGCTGCTCAATGAACGTGTGGCCTTTTTCACTACTGAATTCACCAGCAAGCCTAGGTTAAAAAAAAAAAAAGAAAAAGAAGAGTTAGCTGGAGATGGAAAATTTGCCACAATTGTGTGTATGTGGTTTTCCTTATGAATTGGACAGTCCTGGCTGTTTGGGAGTGCAACCCTCCAGAGAAAAGTGGTCCACAGCAAGTCCCCTTCCCTCCTGCCAGGTGACTGGGCTGGGAGAGGAGGCCCAGAAGACCCCCGCGGAAGGGCTGGGATGGTGTCCTTAGGCCTTTGTGCACGTGGAGGGCCTGCCCCAGGGCCAGAGCTGCCCGGGCTGGAAGTGAATTCCCTGGACATCACAACCGCTCTGGCAGGACACAGCTAGGCCTCTGCGGGGCAGTGGGAGAGGGTCCCGGTGCAGGAGGTTACCCGATGGCCGAGCTCAGTTCGTCCGT